AGATATCATTTTCTATCACTGGGTCGTATATTTTTCGGAGGATTTTTCTCTCATATGTGTTGAGCAGGTTCTCTGTTTTTGCCATCTCTTTGCATTTACCAAATATTCTATGTATGACTATGACAATTATGGCGATGAGGCCCTATGCCCTATAGCCTATATTAAAATATATTAACTAATATTATTTTTTTCTGTTAGTTAAGTCAGGGTGATGGACTTCGCAAGGCATTTGACCGTGTGAATCATAGTTTGCTTCTACACAAACTCCAGAGATATGGGATCCAAGGCACCACTAAAACATGGATCTCTAGCTTCCTCAGCCACCGATGCCAAGCAGTAGTGGTTGACGGTACAAGCTCCCCCTATTTCGATGTGAAGTCAGGGGTCCCCCCGAGGATCAGTGCTAGGCCCCTGTTTGTTCCTAGCATACATTAATGACCTACTCGAGAAACTGACATCCCAAGCAAGACTGTTCGCAGATGACACAGCGGTGTATAGGACGATCGCCAACAGATCTGACCAGAACCAGTTACAACAGGATCTCAATCTGTTAGCTGAGTGGCAGATGAGCTGGGACATGGAATTTCACCCTGCCAAGTACCAGACACTATCAGTCTCTAGAAGTTGTACTCCGCTACACTACCAATACGAACTGCACGGCCATAGACTTGAGTCGGTTTCCTGCGTAAAGTACCTGGGTGTTAGCATTCAAAGTGAGGTCCGATGGGACGAGCATATTAACAATGTATGTAACCAAGCAAACAAGACCCTGGGGTTCATAAGCCATAATCTAAAGATTGGCAACTTCTGTGTGAAAGAAAGACCATATAAAGCCAATGTCCGTCCGATTTTAGATTATGCATCTTCAGTCTGGGACCCATTTACCCAGAAGAGCATTGACAGGTTGGAGGCGGTCCAGCGACGGGCAGCCCGCTTTGTCCTGAACCGCTTTAGGAATACATCTAGTGTTGGCAGCATGCTGGAAACACTAGGCTGGTCACGATTGGAGGAACGACAACGACAATCCAGGCTCTCCATTATGTACAAGATAAATAATGGGCTGGTCCACTGTTCCAGTATTAAACAGAAACTCGTCCCTCTCCCCCATAGACAGCGACGAGGCCATGACAGGCAATTCAGGCTCATACCAGCAAGAAGCAAGTATAGGAGCTGCTCATTCCTGCCCAAGACAATCAGGGACTGGAACAAGCTTTCAAAAGGAACAGTTGAGGCGACAACACTAGACTCATTTGTGTCTATTGCCTCAAACCTTCAAACCCCCAGTGCATGATTCCCTCACAAAGTGGCACTGGAACTCAGTGAAATGTCCTCATCAACACCAGGCACAGAAACTTTGCAAATCTCCTCTACATGTAGCCACTTTGATGAAAATTTCAAAACATTTTTTAAAATATAAAATACTACAGCTGGATAGAGCCTGGAGAATAGATTACAAAAACACCAAGATCACCTTTCTAGCTCAAGTGGTTCAAAAGTTATGAATTTTTTAGTAGGGACCTCAAAACCACTTTTTTACTATGGGATTTTCCTCCACACTTTGTGACCCTCATTTTGCATTTTTTTTAACGACTATAACTTTATTATAAAATGAGACAAAAATATAATATTTACAGGGAACATAGTTAAATAATAGTACTTCTAAATAAAGCCACAAAATATACGTTAGTTTTTGTTAATGTGCCGCAAATATTAAAAAAAAAAACGTTATTATTTGCCTATTAAAAATGTATAAAAATGCTGACTCATCACTTATTTGTAATTAATTAATTAAAATTTTGTTTTAATTTTGTTTTTAATTTCCCAAAAATCATAATAATAATAATATTCTTTAGATAATAATTGCAGATTTTCTGTGGAATTGTTTAGCATTTATAAGCATAAACAAATAATAAAGAGATTATTTGTTTTATTTATTTAAAATTGACAATTACACTTTTTATTTTACCATTTTCTACATATGTATACTATATATTATATTATTCCTATGAGTATGACAAAACAATCAGCATGTCATTTATTTTAAGTTTGTAATCTTGTTTTACAAATCAACATGTATTATTAGAATCAACTTTGACTTTAGCTGTTAATAAAATAAGTTCTAGTCATTTACTAGAGGTAAGTACAGGTTTTTATGATTGTTCTTTAGTAATAATATCTTAAGTAATTCTTGGATTGTAGTGCCAGAAAGTGTGTTTTTTCTTTGAGAAACCGAGGATTATATAATAATTCTCTTGTGGAATATTGTGATATGCGATTAATATAGGATATTTCAATACCAAAGGTAAGTGAATATTTTAAAATGTTTTACTTAGTTTATGCCTTAAGTAAGAATCACAATATTCATTAAAATTGTATTACATATCCTAAAATATCATTAAATATAATTTATTATAATAGGCCCTACAAATTAGTTGGGTTGGGTCTAGGCCTTAACCCTGATATAGTATACTTTTTATTATACTATATGTATACAAGGCCTATAGCCTATGGTCATTATATATATATATATATACAAATAAATATTTATCTATAAATATATAAACTAATATAAATGATAAATATATTAGTTGTAATAAAAGCTATTTATCCCACTCCTTAAATCATTTATAATAGTATAATTACTATCATAATACTTTTACTAAGCCTATCGCTATCTAAGTCAAAGACAAGAGCTTATCATTCCCATGTCAGTCTCAGCCAGGTCCATGGCAACCAACCCAAAAATTAAAAGCACTGATATTCAATGAGCCAATAATAATTATTAATGTTTATATAAAATGATTTATTATTAGTTATATTTCCCATTTACACTCTGGATAACCAACTTAATGAATTATTAATTACCCCACGGCTGCTATCGATAATTGGAAATAAGCAGATAAGCACGGTGGCCATGATGACAAATTACATAGCCTAAAAAAATGACATCTTGGAAATTCGTTTTTGAAGCCCACCCATAGTCTACACTCATGAATTTTGAATATGTTGTAAATGAACCTATAATTATAAATTATATGAGCGGAGTTTTTTTATTATTGAGCGCATTTTTAAAAAAAAGTTATTCTTGAGTGAAGTTGACCAATTTTTAACTTCAATTTTCAAAGCTTTAATCTTGACCCAAAAAATCAAACGAACTCTTAATATAACAGGAAAGATGTCGGCTTCAAGTAATTGGCGGAAGTAAAATTATATTATTATGCTAAAAATCGATTATAAAACGCGAAACAACGATACCCTCAGTAAATTAAAAAGTAGAGGTTGCCATTATGACAACGAAAATATGATACCCGTTTTTCGGGTATTTCCGGTCGATACCGAGGTCCCTACTATAAGGCATAGGTGGGGGAAAATAAATTTTAAATCAATGTTCAAATCATAATAAGATAAAATTCTGACTTTCACTTTGAAATTATATTGTGAGAGTAGGCAGTGAAGTATCATTATTTTGGGCTGTTTCAGATTTAGCGGCTCACATTGACTTTGTTAAGGTTAGGCATAGGGATCGATTTAGGGTTCGGGTTAGGCTTAGGGATCGATTTAGGGTTCAGGTTAGGCATAGGGATCGATTTAAGACGTAAAAGTGCGCGCATGGAAATAAACGCGAGCCGCTTTCTCTGAATTTACCTTATTTAACTTATTTTGTTGTAGATCTAAGATGAGGTGGGGAGAGTGAATTTGGGGTCGGCACTTCTACTACTACTTAGTTAACTTAGACTTAGGCTACTTCTAACTAAAAAAATAATGTTATATTTTAAGTATACGTGACAGAGCCCTTCTCATAATCATTATATGGTTGGCCTATTAAATTATAGGGGTATTTAGCTGACACTCACTGGCATTTTCAGAAACAAATTTGAAATTGTAATAACTATGAATTTGTGCGAATTGTAACGGTTATCCTAACTTGTGCTCCATTTGTATTTAACTTTTTGGTAGTTAACATAAATATGTACATTGCGCAGTCGCAAAGTTTAAGTAAATTCTGCTTCCGTTAACTTAATATAAAAACAGAACAAAAATTATAGGGGTAATTAGCTGACACTCACTGGCATTTTCAGAAACAAATTTGAAATTGTAATGACTATGAATTTGTGCGAATTGTAACGGTTATCCTAATTTGTGCTCCATTTGTATTTAACTTTTTGGTAGTTAACATAAATATGTACATTGCGCAGTCGCAAAGTTTAAGTAAATTCTGCTTCCGTTAACTTAATATAAAAACAGAACAAAAAAAGTACAGAAAACAATTATAGGTTACAATTTGTTTTATGTCAGTTTTTTTTTTTTTTTTTGGTTTGTGGGGGGGGGGGGGTAATTTCAGTAAAGTAAAGGGTTGCGTTTGGGAAAAAACAAAACATATTAAGATGTAATATTTTAAAATTTGTCTTTAGAAAAATTATTCTAGCATGTAAATTTTATTCATGGAAGTATTTGAGTGCTACACATAGGCTTTAAATAATTATAACCACCTATAAGCTATTTAATGGTTGTGTTGTCCGCTCATTATTGAATGCCTGAATTTTGGTGTGGTTTCCCAGGAGCATTATTTTTAAATTTAATAACGCTCTATGATGATTTAATTCTAAATAATATTTAGATTTTAGAGTTAGATAAAACTTCAAATAGCTTGAATCAAGAAAAAATGTGTTTCCTAATCCAAGTCGTCGAAGAAAACAAGTTCACAGGTAATATAAAATAAAAGACAATAATTATCGGATCAGTGGTGCGAGTTAAGCAGGGGGTTGGATGCAATACGGCATACGGATTTGGTAGCACAGTCCTCCCCCTCCCCACATACTTCCCCCTAACACCCCTCCCCCAACCCACAAACCTGAGATGGCTGGCTCAAAGACCACTGATTATTATCTTTTGTATATTTATTGCAAAATTTGTTTTGATTTTAATAGAAAGTTTACCGATTGGGAAACCAAAGTCTCCCAATATTTTAATTATTTAACTATGAACACATTTTAATTCGAAGAACTGAATTTTTAAGCCAATTGATTTGAAATCTGGCATATTTTAGTAATTTAGTTACTTCCGGGTAAAAATGGCTGCAGGAGAAGAACTTTTAGTTCTCATTGACAAGGAAATCCCTGAGGGACGAAAAAGTCTCCAAGAGAGCTACATAAATCTTGAAAATGTTGCTAAATATTGCGAGGATAACTATCTCAAAGCACTTAAGGTAAGAACTTATATTTTGATTTGAGCTCAATAATTAAGCACAAAGAGAAGTGCCTGTTTAAAAGTGTTGCAAGAAGAGTAAGAAGTGTTTGTGAGTGTTTGTCTTCCTTGTTTAAACACTTGACTTATTAATATTAAAAAGGCTTAGAAATTAATTTTTTAAAAGTGTTTTTAAAAAAAAATCGTAGTCATGATGATAATAATAAAGCTTTACTTTATATTAATTTCATTCGCCTTTCAGATCTTTTGCTACTGGTTTATAAATTTGAACAAGAAATTAATTTTAAATTGGATTACCTGATCCACACTCACAGTAATCACACTGATTCACAGTAGTAAATAATAAATAGCCTATGTATTAACTTGTAGTATGCCTGTGGTATGCTGCTGAAAGAACTGGAACCTTATTTTAAGACCACTACTAAATGCATATTCATATACTTGAACTTAAGGCTAAGAATCCAATAAATTAAATATGGGCTCTGGTAAATGAAATTTAGTAAGCGTTAATTAATTTATTACAGCTAATTAAAACGATCCTGGGCTAATGTGTAAAGATAGCACCTTGACATCATTTGCATGTTTTGTCCATGTTTCCGATAGGGTCAAAACCCAGGTTAGGGATAAGTTTAGGGTTCAGGTTAGGTTTAGGGATAGATTAAGGTGTTAGGTTTAGGAATACATTTAGGACATAAGTTCGCGGGGCGTGGCAACCAAGATGGCGGCCAAGATTGCTATCTCTCCAACTTTACCCGATCCTGAAACATCAACTTATTTATTAGCCATGTATAGTTTAGTTACAAGACTAGAAATAGAATTTAGATTGCAGTATAGTTGGCATGTCTCACTGAGTAAATAAGCTAAATTAAATAGATTATGTAGGCTGTAGGTTCCCTGGGTCAACTACTGACTACTGGCCACAAAGTTCCTTATTAACCAAAAGATTTCAATTTTTAGTTTGGTATATTTGATACAGTTTCATTTTTTTATTTTTTTTATTTATATCTTGAAAGGTGGGGAGGGTTTTTCTAGATATTTAATGGAAACAAGAAGATGTTGTTACAAACTATGAATATTACCAACATTCAATTTAATTAAATTATACTATTAAGTTTGTATAAAAAATACAATTTTAAACATACTTAAATTAAAACTATATTAACTTACAGCACAGCAACTGAAAAAAATTATAATCCTTGAAGGAGAAAAATATTAATATATACAAACACAAAGAGTATTATGTTGTAAAAGGCTCCTTCCATTATTATATTATTTCTCGTAAATGTCTAGGAAAATTAGCAAAAATCTCTACCGGCTGGGAAAATATCATTTAGAACAAATATCATCTAAATAAAGACAAGCCTTTTCCCAGTCAAAGGAGGGGTGGGTTGGTAGTATGTTTAACATTTAAAGTGGAGAGACAAGTGGTGGTCACAAAACCCTATTAAAGTAGAATTAGTTCAACACACAGGCTACAACATTAGCAATAGTTTGATATATTTTAAGTAAAAATATTGATACATATATTTAATATTAATGTAAAACTATGTCAAAAATGATAAATGAAGTGTAGAAAAAATACCTACCCAAATCTTAGCTGTGTTCAATTAATACACCAAGGTCAACAACAATACTAATTTATGTTTAGTTAACAGACAAAACTTCTTGTTTGTCTTGTCCTATATTTCAAATTTTCTCAGATCTTTGTCTTTATTTTTCCCTCAACTCAGCCTGAGCATCACCGCCTTAAAATGTAGATATTTTATTAAATACACTGATATTATGGCTAACTGAGAATTTAAAGTAGCAACACTAGTAGGGGTGTGCCGGATCCGTTTTTTCCAACCGGATCCGGATCCGGATTTTCTTATGCGAAATCCGCCGGATCCGGATTCCGGTTTCTCCCGGATTCCGGATTTTGGTACTATTGGTAGATACTTCGGTAAGTCAAGGTGGACTACTACTTTTTGTGTATGGGAATTCGCAATCGGCGCCAAAAAATCCGAGTTTTTAATTTTCCGATGTGTATGTCTATTTATTATTAAATTAGTACTTTCGATATATATTTGAGTTCCGTTCCATTTGGATAAGTGTCTTACGAGAGACGCCGTGTTTCTACGCGTTCATAGCAGGTTATGCAGCTCGCTCAACCTAATTTCGCCATGGGGTTGGCCACGCCCCCCTTTTTAATGGCGGAAGTTGACGATACTTAGGAAATATTAATTTATTATCACTATTTACATCAAAATAATTGATAACTTGTGTTTCAGAATGCATTTAAAGACATTTAAACTGGAATGTTTTAATTTGAGCTTTAACAACCCGGTAGAATCCATATTATAAATGATCAGAATTTACCGTGTGCAACACGTTGTCATTGGCAACCATTCACAGCCACTTGCATAACTGTATCGTAGTACTACCTCAGAGTTTCATTCATAAGAGTTTGCCGTGTGCAAAAACTATTAAACCATTGGTCAGGGAAAGCTTTAATTAATTATTCATGTGCCAAAGTTGAAAGTTTAAACTAAGTCTAAACAGTATTTTAGTGATAAGGCAGGGAATGCGTTGCCTTATATAAACTATATAGTCATTGCGCATGACGGGATTGGTGGAATGAGATCACAGAATGTGGAGATGCAGTCCATGTTAAAAAATGACAAACCAAGTCGTACTTTAAAAATTCATAACTTTAAAACTACAACAGCTAAAAATATGATTTTGGTGTTATAATTCTTTAAAAAATTACATCTTTTCAACTATGCCATTGGTTTATTTTTACAAAAAGTTTAAATTTTCTTATCAAAGTCCCTACACTATTGGCCACTATTAGCGGTGCTGACTCTAGCCTCTGGTATGTACGGAATATTAAACATTAAACAAGCTCAACGCTCGAAACAATCGATTAATGTATCGTGATCGTGTGGAATTCGGGAAAGAGAATTACTTTTATTTCAGATTATGATCCGGTGAGTCACAAAATCTGGCAAATTCCGAAATCCGGTATATTCCGGATTCCGGAATCCGGTTGTTCCGGATACATGTAAATCCGGCGGAACCGGATTTCACCGGATAGTGCAAAATCCGGCGGAACCGGATTCCGGACCGGGGTCCGGCACACCCCTAAACACTAGGTTAAGGTCCTCACATGACAAATATTAAAAATAAACTTATTAAACCAGTTTAGCTGGATGGAAGAACTCTTGAAAACAAAAAAAAATTCATGAATGCGAGTGATCAAAACCATCAAGCACATACTGTTGAAGCCACTACTGTCCACTACTTATTTCTACTTGATTGGTTAATTTGTCAAGCAAGGTCTCTCACACGTTGTAATATGTTGTACTAGTGCTGAATAAACTCAAGTCCTTTATCACTATAAATACAAATTTAATATTTAATTTTATACACATACAGTAAACTCCATACACCTGAATGGCACAGCTCGCTATAAGACAGAAATAAAACACAGCCTACTTCAACAAAGTTCCATTCACGACTGCCAGAAGAATAAAACGTACGTCACAATACAGACTAGACAATACGTCATAATGAGCATAAAAATAAGTCACGAAGTCAAGCACAGGAAGAGCGTTCTTTAACTAATAAAACTATCAAACACCCACAGCGTGTACTGAAACATAATATTCAGTTGCAACAATTATTAATGAACTCCCATACTCAACAACTACTAGAAAGCTAAAAAAAAAATATTTTTTTTGCCCTGCACGTCTGTTTTGGCACAAAAGCATAAAACAATTTTTAAAATTTAATATTCTATTGAAACCATCTAGATTTACTTCTAAGTTCTGCTTAACATATTCCGTTTAGCACAGACTGATTAAAAAACCTGTTTGAAAAAAAAACAAAAAAAACCATCTTTTAATACTTGTGCTAAATGAGTGTTTAAGTTGATTACAGATTATTTCCCTCAATTGGAGATAGTTCATGGTTAAATCTTGATTTAGTAGAATTGTGGGATAAAAGTATTCTGCTATTTGAATTCTAGAGAGCATTGGTTTCAATAAACTGTTTTGTTTATTGTAATTTATTGTAGTTTCCTTCATTGCTTAATTTTAGTCAAGTGCTAATGCTACAGCCCAAGCCCTTCAGGAAACCAAAAACTATACAACCCACTCATTGGCTAGCGTGGCATATCAAATCAACAATTTGGCAACAAATTTCTTGAAGCTATTAGATCTGCAGCAGAGTCAGCTAACTGATATGGAGTCCAGTGTCAATCATCTGAATCAAGTAAGACATGGAAACAAGTGCTAATTTTTAAACAATTATGATAATTATTTTAAGTATACATTTCAGTCAGATACAAAAAGCTGGGGCCTAAAAGAAGTTTAAGAATTAATCTTGCATTTTGTTTTTTTATAAAACTAAGAAGATAAACATTAAACATCGTAATACTCCTACGTAAAATGATGTCCTTTATTATATATTTATATATATGTTTTGATTAGAAGATTCTTAAATATTGTCTTTGTTTATTTAAATACCATAGATTGTTATGATTCACAAAGAGAAAGTAGCAAGAAGGGAGATAGGTGTACTTACTGCTGGGAGGAGTGTTCCTCGACCCCTTGGAATGAAAAATGGAATAATATATCCAGAACAGACAGAGCGACCTATAAAGTACACCAGAAAATCAATTGACTATACAGCGCTTGATGATGTTGGTCATGGTGTGAGGGTAAGGATAACATTTATCAGTGCACTGTTATTTCACAGCTATTTTAGACATTAAAAAAAAGTGAATTTATATTTGATTTTTGTTCTATTTTTCTTTTAGCAACTTTAACAATGATTATTGTGTTAAAATGTCACAAATTCATAAATAAAAGAATTTTTTTTTTTAATATATGTACCATTGCAAGTATCATTAGTATCCATTACTTACAATAATAATTATATATACTAGGTCAGGTGTCAAGGTCAGCTACCTTTATTGAATGAGGAGTCATCTCTATAAATCATTACAGATTAGGTTTTTTCAAGAGCAGAATCTATTTCCTCAAAGAACAGTTTTGTCCACCACTTTATTAGGTCTTTCAGTGTGCTGAAGATGTCCCAGTTTCCCAGCCATTCACATCTTCTTTCTACGATTGATGACCGGGACAGTTTTTGGAAGTTATACACATTATAATATAAATTAAATAGAGACCTTGCTTTTACATCAATGCCAATTATTAGATAATATCTTTCTATGATATGAGGCATTTAAGTTATGCACTTTTGGTTTTTCTTAATAAACTTAAAAAGGATAGCTATTGTAGATTTATTTTACTTCAAGTGTGTATTATATCAAAGGTACTTGAGAAACAATAACATAGATCACCATATTTATATAACATATGGTATATCTGTGTTATAACTTTACCATTTACTTCACGTTCAGTGACCTACTTGGCATTGACAAATTTGAAATGCTATTGATCATTTGGAAACTATTTTTTGTCACAGTATGAATTTTACAAATCATTGTTGCACTTTTTAAAGTAATTTTAAATTTAATTTTATATCTTTCTCATTTTTGTCTAGCAACAAGCAAACACACCACGAGCTGTACGAAGTCCTTCTATCAGTAGCAACCATAGCAATAACAGTTCAAGTAACAATATCAACCAGGCACCAACAAGTAAGCCGCCTACACCTCCTACCTATCGAGCGGGATCTCAAGGAGGAACCATTGGTAGATCAGCATCTAATCAGCCGAATCGTGCTGTTGTTCCACCAGTGCCGCCATCACATCAGAGTCAAGCTCAGGGTAATTTCCCTCCTCACCCTCAATCCAGTCGATCATCTGTATCTTCGGGGAGCTCATACTCTCCAAATAACACGCTGGTTATGGGTCAACTTCACTCACCTTCCATGGGTCAAACCATGCCACCTGGGATGGGCTATAATCCATCTCCTAATACCCTTCATAATTTGACACGCTCTGCAAATCCTTCACTAATGCATCCTGAGGCAAAGGGTAATTTTGCTTTTTTAGCATTAAAAGACTTAGACCATTATGCTAACAATCTTTTTAAATGTTCTATTGGAAAGTAAGGAATATTAAATCGGAAATTAGATTTTTTTTAATAATTTTTTTTTTTTAAAGCATATGCTAATAAGGTTCAATGTTGCAATGGTCTAAGTCTTAAGCCATCACCAAGAAAAAAGTAAAAATGCAGATCAATAAAAAATATTTGACAAATTTTGTATTTATTTTTCAATAATAAATTTAAAATCAACATTTTTCGTGACTGCATCTTTACACTTAACATACTGCACTATTTTCACTTAATAATTTATCTTAAACAATTTGATATTAGAGTATTAGTTTCATCTTTATTTCAGATAGCTTGTGGCATGTAAAAATTGAATAAAAGGGGAGTAATAAAAAATATTTTTTATAGATATTTATTACTGGTTTACAAAATTGTTTCCACAAGAAATGTCATTTAAAAATAAATTTATTGACAAAATTTGCGTATAAAATTTCAATAAAAATGTAAAATTTCAAATGTTAAGAAAAGAATTAGTATAAAACTCAAGATCTTTGTGGTGGAGGAAAGTATCTGTTATCTGGGTGTGTTTGAATCAATAGTACATTTAAAGGGAAGTGGGACATTTTTGTAACAACATTCTTTCGATGATGCTCAGTTTATAAACTAAATATCCTTGTTCAAGATCAAAATAAATATAATCAGACTTTTGGTTAAGTTATAGGTGGTTTTTTGCTGAGTGCAGTATAATTTTGTATTCTTGCAACTTGCAATTCATTTTAAGACATTTAAAATGCAGTTGAAAACTCCAGTAAGCAAATAGTCAAAAATTTACTACCATGGGGATTAAATTCTCAAGAGATGAAATTTTTTATATGTTGATAGAGATTTATGTAATTATTTAATAATGAGCTTATTCCATTTTTTAAGCTTTACTTTACAAATTCTTTGCACTTATATTATATACTCGTTTTAAAGCTCATTTGTTCATAAGCCGACCCCCTAGTTTTGGCTGGGAAAATCTACTGATTCCCCTGAAATATATCCCCCAAAAAGTGGGCTTTAAAACTAGTAATTATGGTAATGTTTACTACATTTTGTAAGGAAATGGTATTTTTAAAAATCATTCTTTTCTTAAATTTTTTCATCTATTTCTTTAACATTCTTCAGTCTGCTATTACAATATCAAGATAATCTTTTTTATTTAAAATATATTAGTATTTTGAATTTAACTTGAAAATTTATTTAATTCAATTTCTCTTGAACAACGTAAAAAAATTATTAACTTTATCTACTAATAAAAGTAACCTGGCATTAAAAACATAAAGAAACATAAACTTCTTTGGCTGCTCATGACATCTATTGTAGATTAATCTTAAACTAATCTGTGCATATTATTTAAAAAATAATTCACTTATTACCTAAATATGAATTAAGATAAATCTCATGTAACATTATCTTCGAAACATGAATTGATTTAAAACCTGCTAAATCTATCAATTAATTTTTTTACTATGGTAAAAAATTTATAATTATTTTAATTTTTGATTATAGCTTTCTTAACCCAAATAGAAAAGACAGAATTAACCAAACTTTCAAGATTTGGTAATTTTTAAGAAAAAAACACATTTTTATTAGGCTCTTAAAAAGGCTTGGAACTTCATCTCTTATTCCATGCCTGCTCCTTACCACATTTATTGTGTAATTTCTAAATAATAAAAAATTCATAAATAAATTTGACACTGATTAATATCGTTATCTTCATTACTATCATTTTTAAATTTAACAACATATTTTATACTAAAAAAAACAACTTAGAAATACTCATTTTATCTCAGTTTTGATAATACAATATGCGTAAAATTTGACATTTTACTTGAGTTTAGCATATTTATTATTTTTATAAAATTTCATCTAAACTATGTTTAGAAAAATAATTGCTAATTCAAAAGTTTAAATTTAGTACATTCAATAAACAACTTTACAATGTTAATGATTCTGTTGAATTATTGTGATATTTATAATGATATGACAAAAGGGAATTGTTAATTAATTTAGTATAATATTTTAAAAAGCTATATTATCTTCTAAGGCTTTTAAATTATATAACTATGTTTTTTTATAAATGCAAATAAATGTTTACCCAGTTGTTATTTTGTGCATTTGCCAAAAGATATGAAAAAAGGATATCTTTGAAAAAAAAAAAAGCATTAATGACTTGCATAACCTTTGTTTTGTTCCAAAATAGATTTTCCTTTTCATTTTGCAGATTGTTTCTTTTTTTAATTCTAGCTTTTGCACCTCTTTCCATTTCATTATTTTCGATTCAACAGCACAGTATGCACGTAGTAGTACTAGTCGAGGACAAAGCTGGATTGGTAAGGCTGTTTTTGTGGAGAACTGGTTTCTTTTATTTATTTGTTGCTGACATTTTACCAAAGAGATTATCCTTTTCTGTAGTTAATTATGATTATTTTCATTTTTTGAAAAAGATTTTTCACCTGATAATATTCAATATAACATTGTGTAATGTTTAATTTTTTTGGTTTTGTCTCTTTTTTAAGCTTTCTGTTTTACACCACTGTTTTATATTTGCAAAAAATTAATAGTTTCTCAAAATCTCTGTCTCATTTCTTCATCTGTTGTTTTCTACCACAATTTGCATCTTGTTTTTTGGTTTTTTTTGTTTGTTTTTTTTTTTTTTTGTTTTTTTTTTGCTGCAAGTTCCTAGCCCTTTTATGGCATTTACACTACTAACCAGTAAAAGTACTGTCTGTCAAATATTAATTAGCTAACTGACTACAATATAATTCCTGTGAAAATATTTAAACATCATCTGTTTGATTATTATTTATTTATTTACTCTGATTAGTTTTATTTGTCTTTTCTTGTGATACATTGCACAATTCTTCTCTGTTATAATGTTGAATACAGATTACTGGTTGGTTCTGTCATGTTTGCTTATGCATGATATTCATTTTTTGCTTAAAACGTTCTTCATTAAAATTGTTAGAAACCCCTGAAATATTTGTTTAAAGTGTTAAAGAATATTTTTAACACAAAATAGGTAAAAATCCATCTTAAATTTCTGGTTATGCGCTGCAAAATCAGTGACAACAGTGTTGGTGAAATCCCATCTCTGACAAATAAAATTGGAATTTTTTTTATAAATCAAATTCATTTTTAGCACCAGTATCTGAAAAATATTTAAATCTTAAACTGATGGTAATATTTAAATTTGTCAAAACCAAAAGATATTGACAGTTACTTGCATATATATAAAATCATTACATTTACTTTATTGACTAAATCCAAATTAGTTTGGAATTTTACTCGTATTTTTATTTAACTCTGTTACTGTGACCCCTATATGATTAATTTAATTTTTAATATTGAGTTTCTTTCTCTCCTCCCCCCCCCCCTCCCATAAGGAGCAACTATTTCAAGTATATTATGTGGTGTTGGCTTTTTCCTTCTTTGAAAGTTCTGTTGTCATTGTTGTGAGTTTTCAAATTAGTTTGGAATTTTACTCGTATTTTTATTTAACTCTGTTACTGTGACCCCTATATGATTAATTTAATTTTTAATATTGAGTTTCTTTCTCTCCTCCCCCCCCCCCCTCCCATAAGGAGCAACTATTTCAAGTATATTATGTGGTGTTGGCTTTTTCCTTCTTTGAAAGTTCTGTTGTCATTGTTGTGAGTTTTCACTGTTGTTTTGGCTTTTTTTGTTTTCACAGAAACCTCCACCACATCCCTGCCCCCACCTCCATCAGATGATGATTTCCCAGAACCGCCTTTTTTTCCAGGTGTGAGCATGCAAAATAATCGCAGAAACTGTTAAATGGTCGTATCGATTTATTGCTAGCCGTTATTTTAAATAACTCCAAATCTAACCTACATAGTAGTCTCATTTACCAGTGACTCGTGTGAAATCCTTAAAAGTGTTCTTAAATGTGGAAATTCAGACATGTTATTTTCTTAAAGATTGACACAATAATAAGAAGTACATTATTCCGTAATATGAATAAATTCATTCATAATTTCATTTTAATATTCAACAAATAGTTGGTAAATATTTTTGATTACATTTACTAAACCCTTTCCCTTGATGAAAGAAATTGACAAATTATTTTCCTAGTTTACTTATCTATAATTTTAATAATAAATTAAGGTCTCACCTAAAAATTCTTCTTATACATGTTTGAGTATAGTTTAATTTGCTAACATATTCTGCTGTGCATATGTTTTTGATAATTTTTTATAGTTAACACTGTGTGTTAAATTAACCCATATAAATGATTTCCTCTAAGAAAATATTTTGGGGGCCTTCGTAATGATAGATTGGTATACACCAAAAAAAAAAGAGCTGGAGTTATGTTTTCAAAGAGCTGCTAGTTGCCAAAAACCGCACTAACTTAGCTGAATGCCATAGATTTTGAAACTAACTGTGTTCAGATTAGTCTCAAGAATGCAGGTAACACAGAATTCACTTAAACCACATACATTATGCCTTAAAATGAATTTTCAGCTTTTATATCGGCTTTCTTGTTGTACTGCTTTAGTCTATTTAAAGCTTCCATATCCTAAACATACATAGTGATTTTTATTTTTCTGTGACTTCTATTGTGAAATGTTTGTAAACCCTATATTTATAATCATTCATTATTAATATCATAATAATTAATATCAAAAGAACTGTATCTTTTTAATTCAAATATAACATTTAGTATACGTGACTATTAAAATTAAGCATTATAAAATATTATTAATAAAGTTTAATATGCTGAGATAAAGGTCAAGACAATAGCCTGAACAGATTCAATTACATTTTTAAAAGTTTATTTCAAATATTGCTTAATACATTTATTGGTTTCGCAGGTTCAGGTGCCATGCTTGCATTTTGGAAATTTATCTACATCAAATGTCTTGGAATACTATAATGGATTAAATATCAGTAATAAAAAAAAAAAAGTTTAATACCAAGGTGCTGCTAATGATCAGTTCTGCCTTTGGTTTGCCCACACAGTTTCCATTGTGTCATGATTTCAAATTGAGCGGTTAAAAAAAAAAACTATATCTACAAAAACAATGTACTCTTTACAATAACTAACATTGAATAATTTTCATAGAGGAGCTAATAACTCAAATCGCTTTAATGAACTAATCAGGCCTGATGTTTACATTTTGAAGAATCTGAATGGTTTAATACTCTTGCAACAAAAACTATGTTGTGTAAATATCATTTAAAAAATGCATATTTATTTTAAGAGAAATCATTTCATACTAAGAGAAAAAATTGTGTGCAGTTTCTTTATTGCCATGTTTGCTTTATCTTTATAACTATTACAACTTCTTTATCTCTTCCAATTTCTTTTAAGATAATTACATTGGAGAACACTTGTCAATGTACAGTAATAATGCCCATTTCAGCATCACCTCCTTTACCAGCACCTCCACCAGAGGACATGTCAAGTCAGTTTGATTATCCTGCTGCCCCTCAGGACTTCAGTGATGTCAGAGGACCACCAAGTACCAGAGCAGGTAGAATGATTGGCAGTGAACCTGAAGTTACATATGCGGCTTCACCTAATAATGATGACCCTTATGCTGCAACTGGCCCCCATCTAATATCTCAACAGTCTTCTTCCTGGATTCCAAAACATTATCTGGAGAAAGGTGATTATTGTTAAATTCTCTTTCTTAAGTTCTCTTGAGTCAGACCTGTTTGGGCAGAGTTAAATATGCAAACAAAAACAAATTAATTAACTCTTTAAAACAATTAATGGTATAATTAAACAACCCCTAAAAGCAAAGTTTTTTAAACAAATCCATTATAAAATGTAATATCGAGCAATGGGGGTGGGGCTTAAAATTTGACAAAACATGCACAAGTAATGCATGTTATAAGAATCCCAATTGTTGCTCCCCCCTCATGGCTCGCAACGGCACGTTTTTTCACACCCTGATGTCTAATGATCCACCTGCTTTTACACCTCAGATTTATTTCACCAACAATTTTAGAAAAGCAAAAGAAATTAGTAAGCACCAAACGCACTTGCGACATTTTTTTAAAAAGAACCTCATTTAGTGCAGTTATTGGGGATTTTATCTTCCCCTTGCAAAACAAGAAAAACTGATTTTTAGGTGGTAGGGCTGAAAATTTGATAGAATTTTTTTTGTCATCAGCAATGAGTTTATGTGCCAAGTTTCAGCTTGATAGGTTGATGGGAAGTGGGTAGATTAGCCATCCAAAGATTTTGCCAGCCAGCTACCCATGAATGCAAGCAAAGTTAATATAAAGGATTTAAAAATGATTTGGATTATTATTTTTCACCTCTGTGTGATATGCTTTGTAGATTTTAATTGTAAAAATAGATATTTATATTGTAAATTCTTTTTTTTTTTAATTTCAAGTTCATTCATAATCTAAAATTGTTACCAGCACAAATCCTAATCTTATTTTTGCTAAAAATGAAAATTGTTACAGTTCATTTTATTTATATATTGTTTTTATGTTTTGAAAAAAAATTACATACCTGTTTTTCTTTTACAGTGGTGGCCATTTATGACTATCAGGCAAACAAATCGGATGAATTGTCTTTTGCTGAGAATGCTGTAATTTATGTAATACACAAGAATGATGATGGTTGGTGGGAAGGTGTCATGGATGGACAAACTGGTCTTTTTCCTTTTAATTATGTTGAACCTTGTATGTAATGTATTTTTAGTGTACATTTTTGTGTGTGTCTCCTTCTGCACATTTACTATCAGTACATACTCATTGTTTATTAATGATGTGCCAGTTCATTAAAGTCAAGAGCAATGGCTCTAAGAGATAACTTTTTAATGCAATCAATATTTATTAACCTTTTGAAATTGTTGTAGTTCAATTCAGAGACCATTGTCTTTGCTCAAACGTCACCTGCCGTTGGTTTACAGCTTTCCTGGTATTTCTATGTATGTAATTTGTATTATGTCTTGAATCATCAGCATGTAAAAAAAAGAAATGTAAATGCATGACCCATTTTATTGCCAATTGTATATTGTTAGTTGTAAAAAAAATTATCAAAGTTGTTGAATAGTTTTGGCCAATGATGATGAATGCGTTTTTAAGTAGAGCTAAATGTAGTTTATTTCTTTAACTTTAAAAAATGTGTTTGGGCTTTTGTGCCTGATTGGCAAATTCCTTGTAAAAAAGGTTTATTACCACAAAATTAGAATCTCATAAGTCTACTTCAAATTTGCAATCTAGTTTATATGAAATATTTCCAAGCAAAGTTGTATTTAATTTTGTACTTTTGAAAATGCACTGAAATACAGTAAATAAAATATTCTGAGGAATAATGCGAAGAAATAAGTTGTAGTTTGTAGTATTTTGCATAAAGATGGTTATTTCTGATTTAAAGGGAAAATTCTATTTGAACTTGAGATGTTTCCCTTCTGATTCTGATAGACTACGTTGCTGCAACCAAGTACTGGCATATGTGCAACGGTTTGGGAAATGATATTTTTTCATATGATAAAAACTTAGCTTTCAAAATGTGTATATTTTAATTATATGTTTGCATATCCAAAGAGATGCATCCTAAACGTAAATAGTAAGAGCTATTCAGGAGTGAAAAGGGAAAGCTGCTTGTACAAAAATTGAGAAATTAAAAAATGTTTTCATGAACCATAAAATCTTTGTTATATTTATTTTTTATAAATCCTAGTAACAGTATTAAGAAGAGCGGCCCATCAAGACAGGTTTCTACTTTCTAATATACCACTGGCATGGTTTCCTGTAATAACTGCTAAACAATAATTAATTTCAAGAAAACATACCATCAGGTCCCTATGATTTATTCCCAATTAAATAAATTTAGCAAAGTTTGTGCATTTCATATTTATTTGTTTTTATGGTCCCGATTTTTTTTCCAGCAACTGTGACTTAACAGGCAATGCTCTACAGCTATTTTCACACTGACAACCACTCTTTAAAATAGTTGTCTGCTGTCTTCCAACATCTGGGGTATTAAACTTTCTGATGGTTTACTTTCTCCTCAAGAATAGCGTTAGCAGTCTGACTTTGCTAACAATGTTTCACCTATTTACACATGGCTAGCAATGGCACTGAATGAACTTAAACATGCAACCTCTTGTTCAAGAGGAAGACCTTGATTAATTATGTTACTTGGAAATAGCATATAGAAATAATACAAAGCTTTTTGCACTGGTGTAATGGTAATATAATAGTAGTATAAAGTATAAATTCACGATGTTTTTTTAAAGATAAAGGCAATCTGAGATTGTACAGCTTAATCTTCTTAGTAGGCCCATCACTTTCTTGAATTGAATAAGCTAAGATGGCCTTGCTTAGGTGTTGTTTTTTTGCAATGATAAATCAAATAAAACTTTAACAAGATAACTCCATAAAAAAAAACACAGTAATTACTTTTAAGTTATATTTTTCTGTACCTGGTACAACAGAACCATATCTAAATGAGTTTGAGAAAGCAATTGTGTAAAAATAGATCAATTTTTTAATATAGATATTACAAATACTTTAGGATATTAAGTAGCTTCATCAGGGTGTGAAGTTTGAATAAGTTATAAGAGGCACAAGTTATGTACATGTGTAGGTGAAAAGTTGTTGTTGCACTGTCTATTGTTAAAAAAGTTCAAGAAAAGCACCACAATAAAAATAAGAGCAACCTTTTTATATCATGATCAGTCTCTCCATATGTTTAGTTCTGCTTACATGTATCAAAATGCATGTTGACTCTTGTTTACTGTTAACAGATGTATTTACATTGTTCCTGTTTGACTTATGAACCAATATTTGACTTCTGAAATTACATTTCAACCACTTTGTTTTTTTAAAATGTAAACAGCACCAAATTATGACAACCGAAAGGTTTGATATGGTGCCAAAAGACCTATTTACTATTTAGTTTGTCCCAGTAGTTTAATGAAATTATTATTTTTTATTATCAATGTGAAACCAAATTATTTTTAAAAAAATTAAAACAACACCCCTCTCCCCTCTCTCTCTATTTTTCACCCCGTCCAAGAACTACAGCACACTTTAGCTCATTTCTTTTCATGCTCAATAATTGTTTTTTTTTAAGAGAATTCACTTCCTCAGATACTGTGTAGTGAAATGAAGAATGTATTTTCCCCTCTCTATCAATCTGACACTTCATTTCACCTTGAGAGACAATGTCAAACTTAACTTGGTCCCTTCAAAATGTCACCCACCAAGTCTTCCTTTGGTGTCATCGGTGTATTGTGCTTTAACCTGAGGTATGCGTTGGATGTACCTTGCTGCGTGCATGCTGTACTGAGCACTGCAGCTGTTGTTTCTAAAATCTGTTCCTCCACTTCTTCTCAACACTTGTGGTAGCAGATCCCCGATTTACTTTCTCTGGCATCTTTTTATGACTACATTAAGTGGGTGGGCTGCTTTTTTCAACATTTTTGTATGTTTCACTTATAAATTTAAGCAAGTACTTGTGTTAATTAAGAGGTGGACTCAATTTAAGATCTGGATCATTTCTATTTGCAAATCTGTTATGACTTGGTAACACCCATTAAATGGATTTTTAACAAATATTTTTATCTGTTTTAGAATAAAATTGAATACCTGTAACATATGAATGTTTCTGTTTGAATTCCCTTTAAATCCTCAGAAGTTCTAGTAACTCAGCACTTTTGAATCATTGTCTTCCTGAAGTCTCTAAACTTTTGTCAAGCACTATCATGCACTTTTGGATCGGACATCCAAACTTATAATATTAAAGTCAGTCTTTTATTACATGTGTAATATTTTATTAGCATTGTTTTTCCACATTTATTCAAACAGGGTCACCATTGACCATCACTAATGTATGAGCTAAAATATTACATTACTATAAATTATAAATACTTTTTCCTCAGTGGAGCGATCAACTTCCAAACACAACTTCCCAATATGTAATCCTTTTTACTTCAGTTGTTACGTGGCAGCTGGAGCTATGCACAGTTGACAAATGCAAGTACGCTTAAGCTGCAGGAGTTTCACTACTGCTACTTTTGTGGCATGCTGTACTTTGCTTGAAAACTAGTCATCAGTTGGATAGCCTTATGTTATGACTGTAATGTTTTAATGTGACATTTAAATATTTTTGCACATGAGATGTCTATATTAGGAAGGATATGAACTCGCTATTATTAAAAGTTTGGTACTTGAATTTTTAAAAAAAATATTGGAGCAAAAGCAGCCAGATACAAAGGCATAGATGGGTTCCTGACCATGTTGCCCCCTTTTTTCTGAGCATCTCTTTGTTTACTCCAATGGTTAGGTGTATTCATAATTATATTTGTTTGCTTAAACAAATTAATTATTATTTTAACATTAACCCTTTTAACACTTGAAATTTTCCAAACAAAAAAAAGCGAAACAATTGATGTACAATTATTACATATTAATTTTAATCAGCTTTTTACAAAATAATTCCACATCACATGAGTTTTGAAGTTTTGAAATGAATTCCCTTTTGTGTGCCACATCTTTATACATGACAATCCAAAAAAGGGCACATGTGATACAAATTCAAACAACCATTACTTAAGCTTATCACATATTCTAACTACATCTACTGAGACAGTGGCTTACTCATGCACATAAATATAAACAAAAAACCCTTCATTTTTTCATCTTTAAAAATAAAGAAATATATACACAATCATTCTTGCTTAGAGTCAATTTGTTATCACAATTTTGTAAGCTACAAATAGGTTTGTTCAACCATTTAAACAAAAACAAAAAAACATTAATCTATGTACATAATTATATTAAGAGATGTGTAACTCCGTATTCAAATAATATTGGATAGAATTATATTTTCACAAAACTTAGTTTTAAATGGCGTGTTTCGAATGTAAAATTCTTACTGTACTGCAAAATAGAAAATGAACACATGCTCTATTGAAATGACATAAAACGCTCAAATATTTCTTTTAAGAATAAAAAGGTGTTATATAATAATACACTTTTATTATTGCTTCATAACCGCTAAGAAATGGACAGAAATTCCAGAGCAACTTACTGCCTATCATTTCATTTATACAACAGAAAAAGCATGCCAAATAAACAGCTCTGAGAAGTATTCAGAGCAACAAGAAAATCAACTTTATAGCTTGGAATTTTTTTTACCAAAACCTTAGTGTTTAAAAAGCAAAAAAATACTTGCATAAAAGGGACTACACACACAAAATCAAATGATATAAACGAAGTGTTTTCAAACTTGTGCACATTTAAGAACTTTAAAATATTTTGTACCTGAATCATGGAGCCTGGTTTTTTATTAAACATTTCTTCCCTAAATTGAAAATTAAAAAATGTTTATCTTAGGAATCATAGTTTCATCTCCTTGACCAAAATCCTTCCCATTTATTTTAGTTGCAAGATCACTTCAAATCACCAGACTTCATGTTGTAGTTGTTTTTTTAACGCATATAGTTTTTTTTTAAAAATAAAGTCAAAGTAACTGATATTAAATGAGAATAAATAACATTTTGAAATGTTTTCATCAAATAAGGAACATGTCAAAAGTAAATCTACAGAAGTTGGTCAGCTTCAATCGACAAGTTGTGTGATCATTGTAACTTTAACATCTCTTTTATCCATCAAATTCATTAGTGATACATGAAACTATTTAACTATGTCCCATATAACACCAATGTGGCTGAAAATGATACAAATATTTTAGTCTTACAAAAATTGCAGATATAATTGCATATATTTAATGCTTTTTCTCCCAAGTCATTAATTAAACTATAAATTATTTTAGCATCTTATTGGTAGTTGCAGCTATTGGCATTGTAATTAACATGCAAATTTGGGTCTCGGAACACATGAGACTTGACAGGGAGGTAAATTACCCACCTGGAAGATAGTTAAAAACAGGGCTCTTCAGAATTTTATCCAGTGGCCAACTTAGTGATTTGTATTATATATTTTAAAAATTGATTATGCTAATGATTACATATGTCACGATATATAGGTGTGTTGCTGCCCATGGCCAATTGTATCCTTATTTATAGTATTATTATTATATATATATATATATATATAATTATATTATATATTAAAATTGGGCCATTTGTTGGTTTTACTTGCTGAGCCATATGACTTAGTCATGCAAGCATTATCTCTAAAATAAATATCAAAACTAAGTGACATTGCTTTCTTTTTCTTAAGGTTAAAGCGTTTTCACATGACATCTTAATTTTATTAAGGCATAAAGTTAGTTGTATCCTCTTATTTATGTTGACAAGTAGAATATTAATAATTACATTACAAGTATTGTAAAAAGATTTATATCTTAATAATGATTTAAATAACTTGGTAACTGAGGTTGAAATGCATTATTCAATTATCTATTTTGCATTAAATTTGGTTTCTATTTTTAAAAAATCGCTGACTATTTTTTGCTGGTTTTTTTAGGAGTTTATGACATTAATTGAGTGTTATTTTTAGATTTACACAAGCCAGTAACTTAAAAGGAGTATTTGAAACGTGAAGAAAAAAAACTTGCTTTTGTCATGCAGCACTCATTCTAAATTGTTTAAGCATTAAATACAAAGTTGTGTAAATTTCTGAATTTTTTATTAGCATTTGATCGAATTAATAAATTTTTAACCTGTTCCAAGACGACAGTAAAATAAGTAAAGCTTACACCGTAAAACATGATTTGTTTGTCTTTAAATGTGGATGCATTCAAGAGAAGTTTACACTTAAAGTTAATCCTGTAAAACATAAAAGCCCAAAAAAAGTACTGACTTTTTAATTTGGCCATTGTTAAAATTAAGTAATGATATCAGGTTGCCATCATTGCAATGAGAAACAAAAAATGTGTTTTTAAGGAATAATGATCTTTAAAGAAAACTAAAGTATTGAAATTCTTTTGCAGCGCTTTTCATAGATTATAAAGGTATAACTTGTTCACCCATTCGCTAACAATCAGATGCTCTGCGATGAATCTTGGTAAAAATCAACTTCACACTCACTTGACACTAAAGTTTTTTACCTCAAAAGTGGAATTTTACATTAATAACATCATTTGTTTGTTAAAATGCATTAGTCCACTTTTCAATCCATAGTGTACTCAAGGGTAGGTTAAACTAGCTTTTTATACAAAAATCACTAATATATTGTACATTCCTCAATCATTTTTAGAAAATATCTTAAAATTGAGAATGTTAAAAAGTAATTTTATTTTCGTATAAGTTTAAAGCAAACTTTTCACTTCAAGCTCCATCCATTTTTATAACAAAATGATTAAAAAATACTAATTTTTTTTTCTTCAAATTTTTAATAAGCAGAAATTGAAAAATGTATCTGACATAAGGCACTTTTGCAGTGTTAGGCTGTTTGCTTTTTTAAATGTATATAATATGATTTTGCTGTTATTCAATATAGATGTATAAATATTTATGAATGAGAAAGCGATCACGAACATAAATATTTAATTTATTCTCATAATTATGGTGTAAATGATTTATGAAATAATTTGCATGTACTTTGCTACTTTCTTAGAAAAACAAGAACACAGGCTAGAATTAAATATAAAGTGATTCCATTATCTAATAAAGTTAAATCACAGATAAGAAACTGTGTAGAGTTTCTAACTCATGTAAATAGCACTTAATGCTCATAAGCCTCCAAAAAACTGAAGTGTACCAGGAATATAATTTATTCTTGACTTTTTGTAATAGATGCCCAATTATAAGTAGGTAAGCATTTGTACAAGTAGTTGCATATCTCAGAGTCCTCTTACTTTAACCAGGAAAATTTCCTCTTCTTCGCTGACTGTTGGCCTACAATATAAAAGAAAATCTTTTGGATTAATATAAATGGACATGACAACAAATGAAGTAAATTGACATATAAACTAAAAGCTTCTTCATAATAATTGGTTTTTAAGATTCAACAAAATTTTCATTACAGAAAATTAAAGACAAAAACTACTGCATAATGATAAGTACTTGATTAAAGTATTTATAGATATTACTAAGGATTTTTAAAATAATAATTCAATAACAAAAATTTCATCACTAAAAAAATTAAATTTTTACCTATCATTTTCTTTGTCAGATAATTTTGGTAAAGATCGTTCATTATAGATAGGGAAAGGAAAATGGTTCTCTTCAACAAAATATATCTTAGAAGTGAAGGCTGACGAAATAAATTCTTTGACATTTCTGCCCATTGGGTACGGGCTTTTCGCACAACTTCCTTGCCTGTTTTGGCCTTCTCATTGTCCTCATTGCTGAGCTTCACTTCCGTTTGCAGTCCCATTAAGAAGTTGAGCGCGGGAAACAAACTTACTTTCACTGAAAGACATCACATAGACATTAGTGCAGTTAATGTGGCCATTTCAAATAGTTGATTAAATGGTGTCTTGACGGGAGGAATAAACAGCAAAAGATTTCATGCATGTTAGCAACATTGTTATAAAGTTAATAAGAGCTTACCATATTAATGGAACAAAAAAAAAGTTTAAAAAATAAAATTGTATGCCACATAATAATGATAAAATGATAAACAGACTGAAGGACTTTCAATTTACTTCAGAGAAGTTCATAAAAATTGATAGGATTTGTTAGGAACTGTTTTTCCTGATTCAGTTGCGACAAATTGATTTTGCTAAGAACTCTGTGCCTTTTTTTTTAACCTATATAATTAAACGTTGAGACAATTTATCACTGGTAATTTTTTAAAACACTAAGGATTATTTGAGAACAAGACTTATTACCCATCAAAATTGACACACTTCAAAAATTGTATAAATAATTAAGTAAAGAATTTTTAAGGTGACAAATTCTAAAAATGCAATGATGCTCCAAAGAATTGCTCCTAACAATTAATTTATTGTTGTGTCATGAAAGTGTTACGGAACCATTTTAAAGAAGATACCAATGCAT